AGGGATCCCAAAATTACCCTCTTAGTGGGGTAGTGGTAAGGTTCAAAGGAAAACCAGAATTATTTCTGGGGGTCTTTGCAGCAGTGGGTATAGAAAGCAGTCCATATATTTATGCATCTCCTATGGAGTATCTCAGGATCAAATTAATAGATTACTGGTGATACTCAAAGAGCTCTTGCTTATTTGGGCTATAGCCCCTCTATTTATCGTATGAAAAATTAGAACTGAGAAAATGTCAAAACACAAGGCCATGCAAGCACCTGTTACAGAAGCTGTCAGAGTGCGAATGAACAAAGCAAATGGTATCTTTGTATTATTATGGAAATGGTTTTGACTTTTTGAATTCCCCAGAAGGGCCTCCTTCCCAACCAGCAGCCCTTGGATCGTTCTTTGAGAATTATTAATCAAATTAGCCTTCTATGGTATCTAATAGGATGATAGAGCTATATGCAGAGTGAATAACTATTTGCACAAGAAACTGTTTTTCTGTGAATGAATGTCTAATCTATTGTCCCACAAGATGGTAAAAACTGTGCTTATGTTCTAATCCTCTTCTGTCGGAAGGAACATAGGGTCTGCTTAAAAACTTTGACAGTAATGCTACAGATCAGCCTCTGAATCTTGAATACAGGATGCTGTGAATAAAGCAGTTTGCCTTTATAAGCAGTGCTTGTGTTCAGATACAATCAGTTTACTTTTGGGCGAGGAATTTTATCCTTAGATCATTTTTCTAGGAACTTCGTCCACCTCACAACACAGCTGACAGCCCTGAGAGTAGGTGTTAGATCTCTGTGAAGACCAGGTAAATATCTAGTTTGTGCATTCAAAGTTCAACTCTTTGACTTAAGTGCAAACACTTGGGCCTCCAAGCCTGCTCACTTAAACATTTTTAAGCAGGTAAGATGATGATAAAACAAAATGCAAAGCACAAGGCTCTCTGGGAAAGGTTCACGCTAAGGATATTGTATGTATGTATCCTTCATTTGTATGTCATCATAATCTGAAGCACAGAACCTGCTATGTGCCAGGCATTAAGCTTCACTCTGTAGAGACTGGGACAAATAAGTTATTACTGCCAGTGTCAGCAGTGTAGGGGGGTGACAGTCCTGTGAACAAGTGGGTGCAACATGATGTGATACACAACAACAGCACAGCTAAGAATGTGATGTCTGTCAGTGATTTTAAATGATTACCTCTAGGGGCGCCCGGGTGGCTTGGTCAGTTCAGCGTCTGAGTCTTGATTTCGGCTCGGGTCAGGATCTCCCTGTTCCCGAGATTGAGCCTGGCATCAGGCTCTGTGCTGACATGAGCCTGCTTGGGATTCTCTCTCTCCCTGCACTCCCAACACCCGCCCCCCCGGCCGTCTCTCAAAATAAATATTTTTAAAAGATAAATGATGACCACTGGGATGAGTCACCAATAGTTTCAAGGAGAATGACTTCTGAAGTGTCTGTTGAGTGACAGAGCACTCAAAGGAAGTAGCATTTGCAGGGGCAAGGTGGTCTACAGGAAGGAATGGACTGAGGACTAGGATGACCGCTGCATGAGTAAACTTTGGCCAGACTGCAAAGGAATTTGGAAAGTGTACTGAAAGAATGGGTGACATCAGTAAGACTCGTGGCCAGTTGGATGTGGAGGTGAAGGGACACACAAAAAGGGCTCTGCCTTGCACAACTCAGTGGCTGGAGGCAGGCTGAGAGGATGAGTTTGGTCTTAGACATGCTAAATTAGAGGTGTCTGTCAGCCACCAGGAAGGGATACTAAGAGGCACAAAAAGTAGGTAAGATGGAAACTGAAAGGTAACTGGTGTTCACAAGATTGTATTACTGCTAGCAGGTGTTTAAATAGTTCAAATTTGCTTGAGTAATGTGGAAAAGTAATTTCTCTGGAATCCCTTATCTCCTAAAGAGTGGATACAGGAACACATGTCTTTAGGAGGTTTTTAATCTAGCTCACCTACATGGTATGTGCTGATCTAGTTCAGAATTAATTTACTCTTTTCTTGTGTGGGCCTGAGAACTACATTTGATTAATTTCAGAGGTGACATATTCAGCATGAGGCATAAAATAAAAATCACTGAGTAAGACAATATATCCCCAAACTGAATCTAGACAAAAGAATCAAACAGTTCTTTTTAAATGACGTACCAAGTTCCTGTTTTTTCTCTTTCCCTCATCCCTTACCCATGAAATGTAAGTTTAGTTCCATTACCAACTTGAATACAAAATAACAGCAAAATCACAGACCTGGGCAGCAACATTAGAATTCAGGCTGAATTCATAGCAGCTGGCAGACCCCAAAGGTATTTGAAAAGCCAATACAGATTAGTGGGGGAAAAAATCTCTAGAAGCAGCCTTAATTTTATACTATAACTGCATACCCTAAATTTTCATAGACCTGTAACGGCTGCCCAGTTACTTTGAAACAGTCATTATTTCCTCAAACAAACTCCAGAAAACTCTTTGGAAGCAGCCATTAATATGGCTTTCTTCAAATAAGAGAGAACCATGATTTGAGGTACAGGTGTTGACCTAAATTGGAAGTCTGTGGTCACTTCATGTTGCAGAAAAAAATGGAAAGACTTAACCATAAGCTTTACTTTCAAATTGATTAGTATCTATGCTTCCAGAGTGGCTGCTGATTTAATGAATGTAACGGATGCACTGAGAATTTGCTGACGAAAGGAGCTACCTTGGAAATAAAACAGAAATGAAGATATCTAATTGGTGCCACATTAGCTAAAGGTCTGTGAGAGTCTGAACAATCTGGAATTACACAAGTGATTTACAGGTCAATGCCAGTCATTACGTTTGACCCCAAATATTCATATACCATAAAGTCTACCTATGATCCTTTCTACTTTAGTAAGAAGGAAAGTATCTAGGTTTGAATACCATGTCCAAACAGACTGCAAACTCTAAATTTATCATTAATAAGTAACTTTCTCACTCCTAATCAATGAAACCATATTTAAAAATTTTTCTTCTAGGGGCACCTGGGTGGCTCAGCTGGTTGAGTGTCGGGCTCTGGGCTGACAGTGTGGAGCCTGCTTGGGATTCTCTGCCCCGCCCCCAACTTGGGTGTGCGTGCTCTCTCAAAATAAACAAACAAACATCCTTCTAAAAAAAATTAAAAGTCTTCTTTCCTAATAATTTTTGCTGAAATTCAGGGTAGGGTATAAAAATAATTGTTTAAATAATGGAAATAATAATTTAAAATTGTTTTTGAAACATAAAACCTCAGAAAGCTTTCAAGTGTACTTTTGTAGGCCGGTATAGTGCTTTCACCTTTCTAGAACATACACTCCAGGAGTACCTGAAGCCTTGGAAGGGTGGGACACATTAAAACTCAAACAGATCTACAACCTGCCCCTGTAGACACTGGAAAAAACTCAGAATGGTCACAAGCAGATAGAGTCTGTCTTTGCCTTTCTACTCCTATAGCAATTCCACAAGAAACATGTTTGCATTTTAAAATTAAGAAATAGATACATACTCATCATGAACAATGGTGGGGCCGTCCCTTGTTAAGGCCTCTTCCTTGATGACATTGATAAGTTCGAAAGTACTGCTGATGGGGGCATCTGGGTTAGGCCATTTGGGACACTGGAAGTGCCGAACTTCTAGGACATAGTCATCCTGTAACCAATACAACAGAAGTCACAGCCCAGCCCATTAGATCTGTAATCTAATGACTAGAACTTGTTCCTGAGATAGCATAGAATTGAAGAATGCCCCATTAACCAAAATGGGGCTGGTAAGAAGAAAAATAGTAGGGAGGCCTGCCTGCCATTAAAAAATGACCAGGTCATGTTAGTGAAACAGTAAAATTCTGTTTCATTCAGGTGACAAAATTGCAAGTGCCAATAAATTATGAGACTTTGTATCCTACTCTATCTATAAATTGAAAGGAAAAAAATGAGAGGTTAAATCATCATTTAAGTTATAATAACTTATCCTCCTCGTCCTTTCATATCCACCCCATAAGAAGGCAGTTGTTATACATCAAAATGTCGTTTACTAAAAACAAACAAACATACAAAAAATCTTATCATCTGCAACACATTGCAATGTTTACATTTCGGGTGGCAAAGAAAATACTGAGCTCTAGTATATTGTTTTTATAATTAGGTCAACAGACCTATTTGTATGCATGCTCAATCAGAGGAACGGTTACATTTCATCTACCCAGCTGGAAAAAGCAAATATTTGAAGGAAGGAAAAAGGGAGTATAATGAAGTCATACTCAAATGCCTGGGCCCGACTTGAGGTGGTAAGTTACTCTGTTATTACTTGGATGATGCAGGGCCCAGGTAGGGCTGTGACTGAGAAAGGCAGCTTTAGGTTACCTGTGTGGCTTCAAGGATAAAGTCATGGATGATAATTTGTTCTTCATTTGAGAGGCACAGTCTGTCTTTGCTGATAAGGGTGACGGTAAAGGCCTCACAGTTCATGGATTCTTCTCGACTTGGCCAGTATACAAACTCATCTTCTGCCTGTGGGAACCGCCCCCAAAGAAAAAATTCCTCTGCAGTGCTGTCAAACATTTGTTTTTGAATTTTCTTGCAAATTGATGTATCCTGTCTGTCATTTCCCATACCTCCCGAGTCACCTTTTAACTTGGGCACATAGAATTATATCCCCCTCTAATCATCCCAAGTTCAGTGGTCACTGTAAATTGTAATTGATAATAACCGTATTCTAGACTTGCCTCCCTACATCACTGTAACAACCAAAAATGCTCCCCCTAGAGGGGACATATTAAAATTAATCGACTTGGATCCTGTCTTGTTTACTATGATGTATTACAGAATATCTCTCAACTGGGGCTAATATATTATTTCACAATTGCTTAAGCAACGAAGACATCCTAGTTGTTACTTCCTGTGGCTTAACATTTCTACAGCTGATTAGCATTTTGCATAGGGATTTCATAAACGTGGTCTTAATTTTTACAATATACTAGGGAGGTGAGGGATTTTTATCATCTGTCTTTACAGACGAGGACATCAAGACTCAGAGAAGCCTGTAAGTTGTCTCAAATCACACTTGCTACTAAATGGTAAGCAACAGAACCTGTCTGGAAAGAGGCTGTGCATAAATAAGCTTATGTTGGTTCTAAGTACAAAGTGCCTTTTCAAAGAAAAGTTAATCTAACCATGTTAGGTGTCAAAAGGAGATTAACACAGAAAAAGGCTTTCAGCCTTGAGTCAGGCAAGCTTTAAATGTTCATCTATTTTAGCATTAAAAATAAATATTCAGGCTCTTTACTTGAATTCCATCCCTGAAAACTGCAGAGGCCGAAGAAAAAGTGAAGAGATGTAGAGGTGGGAGTCTTTGTGAGAAATACAACGATTAGGGTAAGACCCCTGACCCCCCCATCCCTCTTTTTCTCATCAGTCCAAATGGCAAACTCTGCTTTGCCTGGAATAGCTACACTTCCATGGGCATTTGCCTGAAAATGCTTAGATACTACTAGTGAAGTCAGAAATAATTCTGAATAATGTTCAAAACAAAGAAGGTTTTGTTTAATCTTACATTGTTGCATCAGAAATGAGCCAACAGTCCAATAAGACTTATCACCCTTTCAAGTTTCAATATAGCTTATTGCCAAGTACATTTTTATTTTTAAAGCTCAGCATAAGGGGAAACAGATTAGCAATTGGGTTTAGGCTATACAAAAGACAGTCTGTAACTGTCAGGGGTTTTAATACATTTTGTCCAAGGAAATGGAAGTTAAGACCCTTCTAACAGATACTAAAGATGTAAGGTAATAATGGACAAGGCCTATAAATTTAACCAATGCGCAGAGATTAAACACGGGATTTAGGATTGAATAAATTAATCTGGGCCTTAATTTCCATATCTGAAAAGTGGGAATAACATTATGTACCTGTAAGAAATTAACTTGAATAGTAAATTATCAAATTGGCCTAATGACTGCCAAGGGGATTTTAATAAGCAAACACACACACACACACACCAAAACATCTGACTACAGAAAGCAAATTAGGGAGAAACTGATCATCTTCAAATGCTATGAAAAATACATGCTACTTCTTAATTCAGTAGGACCTCTGGTCTCATGGTTATTTTGCTTACAAATACATTTGTAGATCAAAGATGCCTAGGCATATCTAGAACAGTGCATTCTGACCTAGGAACCCGTGACTTGGGGCTAGTCACAGAATCATGGTCTTGTAAAATTACAGCAGTAAGAAATAAAGCAAACAAAGAGAATCTGCAGACATTTTTTAGGAAAAATGTGCACTGACTTTCGACCCCAGAGCTGAGAAGGCAGACATTCAGGATTCTAGCCCGGTCTCAGCCTGAGGTGACCTGTTCCAGGGCAGTCCTGTGTCCTCACTGTCTGCATGACACGCGTGGACTCTGTTGGTCCAGCCTCCCCATACAAACGAGCCTGTGGGTAGAGGCTTTTGGTGACTGTCCTGTGATAAGTGACAATACCAAAACACTGACTCATCCAACAAATGAACGTTTTAACAACCCTAAATGCCTCCAATTTCCACACGCCAAACAGAATAGACCCCTATTGCCAGCTAATTTGAAAATTTACACTCCAGTTTTGAGTTGAAGATTCTCAATTTTGTTGCCATTCTCTCCTACAGAAGCAGTCGTGGTATTCTGAAACTGGAGCAAAATGCGACAAAGTGAACTTCCTACTGCCTGGGCACGCAGTCAAATGCATGTCGTCAAGACTAGGGGTTCAATCACAGGCTGTTCTTTCTCGATGAAAAAATTCACTGATCTGATACTTGTCGAAGCAGCTCCTCATTGTTTCTTATTTCCGTTTTTGTTTTGTGGGCTTACGTGTCCTCATAACTTCTGAAGACCCAACGAAGTCTGCCATTAAGTTTATTTCGATAAACTTGTTAACCCTTCTTTTATATGGTCTTAGGGACCACAGCAGGGAAGGACTAACTAAATAGAGGAGAAAAGGGCTGTAGCTCAGCCAAGGTCTTAGAAGCACCTTTAAACTGGAACAAAATAGCCTTTCTGTATCTCCTTCCCTGTAATGGATCTGCCTTGCCTAAGGTATGGGGGAAAGATAATGATAATTAGTACTTTAGATACGAATTTTTGGGGGAAGGACTGGGAAAACTTTGCTATGATATTTGTCCCACACCACATCATAGAAAAGGATTAAAAGGTCACTCCGGTTTAAATCCTGCCTCCAATTATTCATGTATGCCCTTTCGGCAAGTTACTTCCCTTGATTTTCTTCGCTGTTAAATGAGATGATAATAGTATCTATGTCATAAAGTGGTAGAGAGGACTAAACAAGTTAGTACGTGTAAACACAGTTACATAGTTAGATGCTATTTTATTTTTCCCAAGGGACATATAGCAGCTCAGAGGTTAAGATCCTATATTAATGACGTTATTAAAAAAAAAAAAAAAAGGCTTTACAAAACCTTCCATGGCCCTGCCATGTACAGCATTAGAGAATCAAGTAATGGAACCGATGGCGACACTTAACTGTGAGACTACAAAAGGAACTTGCTCCAACTTCAAGAAGCGAAGTCTCAATACCCTCCCTAGCACATACAGACAGTGTAGCCCTGTGCTAAGGTATCAAAATGATTTATGCTTCTGGCCTCACAGGCTCATTAATATATAGCAGATGTGCTTTGCTTACCAAGCTCTGGTTGTCTGGCAGCATGACAATGATCTGTGCATTATGATCCCAAATCATTCGCCAGAAATCTTTCGTAGTATGTGGCAGAGGATGCTGGGTTATAATAAATTCATTGCTCCTATAATAGCCCTTCAGTTAGGAAGACGGAAAATCAGCAGTTACAAACATTTTATTCTGACGCCGGGGTAAGTAAAATATGTTCACGAAATAAGACGGCATTGTTTTGACCACACGAAAACAATTGAAAAAGGCAGTCAGTACATTTGGCTAATTTTTAGCTGTATATGCTAACATGTGTAGATATTTTTCGCTCCACATAAATTTCCTCCTAGTTACCCCTGCTGTTTTTACTTAACGGCAATTTCAACATTTATTCAAACGCTAGATGGGTGAAATTAACAATAAAATTAATTCCTTAATGAACACTTCTCTTAAAGTATTTTTGTACCCCCACTGGCTAGGAGTCTTTTGTTAGAGGTCTCCGGATACAGAAAGCTAATTTTGATATTACACATCGAGAAATCATTTGAAAAGTGAAATCAGCCACATAGGTGGTATCTGCTCTTTAGCACCTTTTAGTTTAATTGAATTTATTTATAATTAACTGTTGACTCTCACCATGATATAAGAAGCATTAATGTAATCTGTTCCTTTCATTCCAGGCAATGGTGCAAGACCCACTCGAGCACGCTCGGCTATGGTATGGAAACAAAACAAAAACTCCACGTTTGCCTTATTATACACACAGAACGCATAGTGCTTTCTGAGATTCACTCGGTGCATCACCTATTCCCCTGGATCCCCTTTCAGGTTAAAACTTACCTATATTTTTAACTAAGCTCAAGTGTTCTCTGCTAAGGAGAATGTCAATGGAATTTTGCTGCACAGTCCCAGGAGGGCAGAGGCAACGTAGGAATCAAATTTTACTGTGGGAGAGGTTTTCACAGCAGAGCATGAAAAGAACACTGTGCAGAGATGACAGGATTTCAGGTAATTTTTAGCCCCGGTTTGATATTCTTTCCATTATACCCACACGTTGTACTTCTGCTGTTTTGCCATAGCCTTATCCGTATCTTTCTCCTGGCAAAGGGCTTAGAAAACAGTGGCCTTTGTCAAGGAAAGATCATCTTTCCAGCGATCAGCCACGCCTGTGTCTCAGCAGACACATAGCATCCTCTGCCGTGTCCCAAGCTATGGATACAAAGGGCCCCGTCTGCATAGTGCCTTGACCTCAATAGCCAGGATAATGTAATAATGTATTCCGGTTGGACGGATTAGTCAGAGATCCTTAAGCTTTCTAGGAGTATTCATGCCACAGTGATAATGGCTTTCTTCATTTTTTTAGTTAGGATGTGGAAGTCCCACAACTCTGGGCTTTCGAGGTGAACCGAAGCTACACTTCACGTGGCACCGAGGCAGCCGTTCGCTGGCACTGACAGCCGCCCCTGCTAGTCTGATCAATGTGCCTGAATCTTCCTGGCAGAACTCTTCCCCTTGGTAGTAGCTGCCTCTTTACAGAATACATAAAATGCAATGAAAAAATACTAACACATTCCACCAAGTCAAATGGATTTTAAGATCTTACATGGCACGACCGAAGAGTTTCTGTTCTTTTCTTTGTTACACTCTTTCTGAGCACTAAAGCATTCCACATACTTCGCATTACATTGCGTGACCAGCTGAAAGAAAAGTAACGCTTTAGTCTTCATTCAAAGGTGTAACTGTGGACATGTTAACTGACCGTAACATGACAATCATTTCATAATATAATGCAGGCATCCAGTCATTCCTTTCTACACCTTAACTGTATACAGTGTTCTATAGCATTTGAATGTCAGCAGAGCTGGAAAACAACAAACCAATGAAACAGAAATTACAATTGACAGCATTTGATGATCTGGCCAAAAAGGTCCATCAGTAGTCAGATTACTCAAGAAAGAAAACATTTTTTCTACCTCAAAGAACGCACTGTTGTGTTTCAGTAGTGGTTACTTCTGTCCATTTCCTTGGTGATGTGCACACCTGTCTCATTTCTACTCTCAGGCCACAGGCTTCTGAGAACAGGTTCTGTGTGCGTAGTAGATGTTTACTGAGTCAATGTAGACTTTCTGGCTGACAGTGTCACTGATTTTTGGAAGTTCCCCTCTGTAATTTCTCACAGGCACATGAGATTTGGGTGGGCCTACACTAGTAAAGACTGCTATATGGTCATAAGAGCTAACCGTGTTTCTTGAACCTAACTCACTAGGTTCTCAGTACATTTCTGTTGAACTAAACTAACATTGTTCTAAGGCCATTATAAGTAATTAGCCCAGAAGTTTGGTTATTCTTCCTGTTCTTATATAGCTTGGTTGAACACTTTGTCAATCCCCTTTTTTTTGGAGGGCTGGGGTATATATCTTAATAGAACATATGGGAATGGCCTCCACCA